TAAGCACCTTGAGGATAAGGATTATTTTGTTTGTTGTAATTATATCCCTAGCACCTTGCCCAGTGCCTACCACATAGCCCCACACACTTAATAAATGCTTGTCAACTCACTAATTAATTCCTCACTGTAGTGAAAGAGATCCACTGCAGAATGCAAATGAAAGAGGAATTCATTATAGATGGATGATTCCCCTATTTGTAGATGATGTGTAGATGAGATTTCTAAATCAGATCCATATTCCCTCAAAAGAGTTTAGCCTAACAACCACAGTGGAAAAACCGAGTACCTTGGATATAGACTATGACACATAATTTAGATAGAAACCTATAGAGATGGTACATCAAGAGCTGGCTAAATTGTTTTTGGGAAATGATACAGTGCTATTAATGATTTTAAGTTTTTCCCTGGAACAAAAGTTTTTCTTTTTCTTTAATAATAATGGTCTTCTTTTGCTGCTATATAGTTGCAAGTCATGGAATTCCACAACCTCCCCAAGAATTAAAGTTGTGGTTTACTCAAAGGGCAATGAAGAAGGGCATGAAAGGCATGAGTAGATTGCAACATACAATCAACTAAGAATTTTACAACAGAAAATGCATAAAGGATGTCAAAAGAGCAATATATAATCAGAAAAGAAGGTGAGCCAATTTTATGGTAAGAATGAGGGTGGGCTCCACTGGTATCTATGCAACATTAAGAGTTGTAGAGGAAGACTACTCTCCCCTTCACCCATACCCCATTGGATAAATAAGAGCACATGAACAAGAACCACATAGGAAGATAGGGAATGAATGGGGTAGGAACTTCATTATTTGAAGGAATAGTCACAAAGATGGATCTCATTGAAGTAATGAAACAAGAAACCCTAGTGTGTTTTAAAGATGACTTCGCAGGACTTGCACATACAACTCCCCTGATCACATCCCAGAGTTTCTTGATGCCTCTGTCATATGCAGATTCTTGAATCTTGGCTTGTTTGGACTATAGGTGTAACCTGGCAATGGTATTTCTTACATTCCAGATTGCTTAAGAAAAGACTGCTCTAAGACCAATTTCTAGACTTCCCTAGTAAAGATATAGGGTTGACTGTGACTTTGGTCACTGAGTAGTTCACCTCTAAGACTTCATGCCAGGGAGATTCAACTTCCATTGCCAGGAAAATTGATACATTTTAAATTGACAGCAGCTATTTGTCCAGATAGAAACACAGTCCCTAGCTTTTTTTTTGGGGGGGGAGGCAATTAGGGTTAAGTGACTTGCCCAGGGTCACACAGCTAGGACGTGTCATGTGTCTGAGATTGGATTTGAACTCATGTGCTCCTGACTTCAAGGCCAGAGCTCTATCCACTGAGCCACCTAGCTGCCCCACACTCCCTAGCTTCTAAGCAAGGCTGTAGGCAGTTTTTTCATAGTTCAGTTTTAGGAACAGTGGGAATCATGGAATTTTAGATCTAGAAGTGGCCTTGGCACTTGTCCATCCTCCTCTTTAAACCAGGGGTTATTAAACTAGGATCTGTGAACATATGCAGATATATAAACAACTATTTCAATATTGCTTTCCTTGGTATATATTTTCTATATATTTTATTTAATTCATTTAAAAATACAGTTTTTGAAAAGTGATTCATTGGTTTCACCAAACTAGCAAAGGACCTTTGAATAAAAAAGGCTAAGAAACTCTGCTCTCTGATATCCCCAACATACCCTCCTGCTCCAGAGAGTAAAATTTCATTAAAATGGAAATGGCATAGAAGAGTGATATGAAAAGCTAAATTTCATATTGGCGAAGATAATACTCTGCTACTGTTAGTCTTCTTTCCCAGAAGCAAGAGCTTGGACACTGTGGTTGTTGTAATGGTGATTGTGGTTATGGTTACTGCTTCAGCTACTGCTGTTGCTATTGTTGTTTGTAGGGTTTTTTTTTTAATAGGGAGAAAAGAGAATGTCAAAGAGGAAGGGCTTTCCAATGGAGTCTCTAGGGACCAAAAAGGCAGTTCCCTTTTTAGGATTTTATTTTTCCTTCTGAATATGCAGCTATACATAATAGAATGAACTATTCTATAGTAAGAAGGTGTCAGTTTTGAAACGTGGGTCTGCTACTTACTCCTTTTTTTTTTAATATAAATTTATTTTTAGTTTTCAACATTTACTTCCACAAGTTTTTGAGTTTCAAATTTTTGCCCCATCTCACCCCTCCCCCACCCCAAGATGGCATGCATTCTGAATATCCCTTCCCCTAGTCTGTCCTCTCTTCTATCTCTCCTCCCCTTCTCTTAGCCCCTTCCACTTCTATTTTCCTATAGGGCAGGATAGACTTCTATACCCCATCTCCTATATTTCTTATTTCCCAGTAGCATGTGAAAATATTTTTTTAAACATATGTTTTTAAAACTTTAGGTTTCAAATTTTCTTTCTTCCTCCCTCCCCACCCACCCTCATTGAAAAGGCAAACAACTCAATACAGGTTATATGTGCAGTTATGCAAAACACTTTCATAGTAGACATGTTGTGAAAAACTAACTCTATTTCCCTTAATCCTATCCTGTCCTCCCATTTATTCTATTCTTTCTTTTGACCCTGTCCCTCCTCAGAAGTATTTACTTCTGATTACCCCCTTTCCCAATCTGCCCTCCTCTCTATCATACCCCTGCTCTCTTGTCCTCTTCTCCCCCTATTTTCCTGTAGGGTAAGACAGATTTCCATACCCAATTGAATGTGTGTTATTCCCTCCTTAAGCCAAATCCTATGAGAATAAGATTCACTCATTCCCTCTCACCTTCCCCTGCTTCCCCTCCACTGTAAGAGACTTTTCTTTTCTGTTTTTTTTTGTGAGATAATTTACCCCATTCTACCTCTCCCTTTCTTCTTCTCGAGTATAATCCTCTCTCATCCCTTAATTTTATTCTCCAGATATGACCCCTTAATCTTCAATTCACCCTGTGCCCTCTATCTATCTATCTATCTATCTATCTATCTATCTATCTATCTATCTATCTATCTATATACACATACATATAATTTTTTTCCTTCAACTACCCTAATACTGACAAAGGTCTCATGAGTTATAAATATCATCTTTCCATGCAGGAATGTAAACAGTTCAATCTTAATAAGTCTCTTATGATTTCTCTTTCCTGTTTACCTCTTCATGTTCCACTTGAGTCCTGTATTTGAAAGTCAAATTTTCTATTCAGCTCTGGTCTTTTCATCAGAATGCTTGAAAGTCCTCTATTTCACTGAATGACCATTTTTTCCCCTGAAGGATTATACTCAGTTTTGCTGGGTAGGTGATTCTTGGTTGTAATCCTATCTCCTTTGCCCTCCAGAATATTATATTCCATGCCCTGCAGTCCTTTAATGTAGAAGCTGCTAAATCTTGTGTTATCCTGATTGTGTTTCCACAGTACTTGAATTGTTTCCTTCTGGCAGCTTGTAATATTTTCTCCTTGACCTGGGAACTCTGGAATTTGGCTACAATATTCCTAGGAGTTTTCCTTTGGGGATCTCTTTCAGGAGGAGATTGTGGATTCTTTCAATTTCTATTTTGCCCTCTGGTTCTAATATATCAGGGCAGTTTTCCTTGATAATTTCTTGAAAGATGATGTCTAGGCTCTTTTTTCGATCATGGCTTTCAGATAGTCCAATAATTTAAATTCTCTCTCTGGATCTATTTTCCAGGTCAGTTGTTTTTTCCAATGAGATATTTCACATTGTTTTCTAATTTTTCATTCTTTGATTTGTTTTACAGTGTCTTGATTTCTCATAAAGTCACTAGCTTCCAATTGCTCTATTCTAATTTTTAAGGAAGTATTTTCTTCAGTAATCTTTTGGACTTCCTTTTCCATTTGGCCAATTTTTCTTTTTAGGGCATTTTTCTCCTCATTGGCTTTTTGGACCTCTTTTGCCATTTGGGTTAGGCTATTTTTTAAGGTGTTATTTTCTTCAGTATTTTTTTGGGTCTCCTTTAGCAAGCTGTTGACTTTTTTTCATGATTTTCTTGCATCACTCTCATTTCTCTTCCCAGTTTTTCCTCTACTTCCCTTACTTGCTTCTCAAAATCCCTTTTGAGCTCTTCCAAGGCCTGGGACTGATTCATATTTTTCTTGGAGGCTTTGGATGTAGGAGCTTTGACTTTGTTGTCTTCTTCTGGTTGTATATTTTGATCTTCTTTTTCACCAAAGTAAGATAATATAGTCTGACTCTTTTTGCGCTGCTTGCTCATGATCCCAGCCAATTACTTGAGTTTTAAACTCTTTGTTAAGGTAAGAGTCTGCTTCCAATGTGGAGAGTGTACTGTCCCAAGCTTCAGGGGTTTGTATAGCTGTTTTCAGAGATACTTGTATGGACCTGTAAATTTTCAGTTCTTCCAATGTGGTATGATAAGGGGCGAGGTGTTTACTCCTTTCCTGCCCTGTGACCACAAGTACTCCTTTCTGTCCTGTAACTGTGAGGAGGGGGTCCTCTTCACAGCCACTACAAGCTCCACGCCAGTGCTCCTCCTCACCCCAGCACCATGCCCAGAACTGTGACCCAGATCCAAACACGGGCAAAGCAAGAGATTCCTGCCTCAGCACTGGCAAAGAGATCCCTGCAATCCCTCTCTGATCAGCCACTGGATTCCCCTTCAGTCTGTGGGCCAGAAGCTTGGGAAGCAGCTGGCCCCCCAGGGCCACATGCTTGGGGAATGGAGCTGAAACCCCGCCTTTCTCTCTGAGCACCACAGAAACAGACTTTTCCCACTGACCTTCTAAGTTTTCTCTGGCATTGGTGGATTGAGGAGTCTGGAAACCACCACAGCTGCCCGCGATTCAGTCCTCTGAGGCCTGCTCCAGGTTTGCTGTGGCCTGCACACCCACAGCTGCGCTATGCTCCCAGATACACTTTTCTGATCAATCTTCCAGGTTGTCTTGGGCTGGAAATTTGTTTCGCTCTGTCTTTTTGTGGGTTCTGCTGCTTCAGAATTTGTTTAGAGCCATTTTTTATGAGTATTTGGAGGGGTTTGGGGGAGAGCTCAAGCAAGTCACTGCTTTCACTCTGCCATCTTGTCTCTGCCCCCCTATCTGCTACTTACTCCTTATGAGTCCTTTGGCAAATCATTCCTTCTTTAGGACTTCAGTTTCCCCACCTGTAAAATAAAGTACATGACCTTTAAGGCACCTTCCACCTTTAAATCCTACAATGCTCAATCGACCCTCAGATCTTGGGGAGTCAAGCAATCTGCTTTCTCCACTATGATTAGTAGTTCTTCCATCTGAGTATTCTCTTCTCCCAGGCCATCTCTAGAACCACTTTAGTATCTAAGCAAACAAGCCACACTTTTGAGGGTAGCAACAGTAGCAGCAAATTTGGGAGCTCTCAAGTCAGAAATGTTAAGGGGATCAGGCAATAGGTCAGAATGAGATTACAAAAGATTCCTGTGTTAGCACTAGTCACAAAACTAAGCACTGCTTTGCAACTCCATTGCCTATACCCACTTCAAGATCACAATTTCAGGGCAGAAAAGAGCAATTGAGTTGACAAAGAAGTAGGGACCATAAGGAACAGTAGCAGTTGTGTCAGCAAGGGATCAAGGGCATTTCCACCATAAGGATTAGAGTAAAATTCAGTAGAGCAGCAACCACATCTCTTCCCAGATGACACCACATTGGAAATGCCAAAAATGTTTAAACCCCCAGAACTAGCTATGAAAACAGCATTACAAAAAAGCCTGAAGGTTGGGACAGTATCCACCACAACCCCATGCAGGTGAGTAGAGCCCAACTTTGACGTAAAATTCAAAGTCAAGAAATGGACTGGAAAAGTGAGCAAATAAAAAAAGAACCTGACCATAAAAATCTATTATGGTGGCAGGGAAGATCAAGATATATACTCAGAAGTCAAAAAGATTTTTAAAAATAGCTACAAGAAAAGAATCAAAGAAAAAATTCAATTGTACATAAACACAACAAGAATTCCTGAAAGAGCTAAAAATTATTTTCAAAATCAAATAAGAGTGCGAGTGGAAAAAATGTCATGTCCAACTCTCCATGACCCCATTTGGGGTTTTATTGGCATAGATACTGGAATGACTTACCATTTCCTTCTCCAGCCCATTTACAGATGAGGAAACTGAGGTGAACCAGGTTAAGTGACTTGCCAAGGGTCACAGAGCTAGTAACTCCAGGGACCAGCATTCTATCTTATATATAGATATATACAGATATACGTGTGTACATATGTATGTATGTGTGTATATGCATATATGCACTAAACAGCATGGCATCACATTCTTAAAGGAAAAGTTAAATGAATTTTCCCCTCTCAGAGCTAGATAAAGCTAACCATAATATAAATAAGAAAAAGGTTAAGGGGATAAAAAGAATTTTAGAAAAGTTATATATATGACAGACTTCTGTGGAAATTGAATGGAAAAATAAAGGAGTGTGCCTTTTTCACAGATATATATGGCACCTTCATAAAAACTGATTAGCATAAAAGCATAAAAACCTTAAAAACAAATGCAGAAAAGCAGAAATATTAAATATACACTTTTCAGAAAATATTGCAATAAAAATTACATTCAAAAAAGGGCCATGAAAGCATAGATTAAAAATAATTGTAAACTAAATGATATAATCCTAAAGAATGAGTGAATCATAGAATAAATCATAGAAACAATAATTTCATTAAAGAGAATAATGAGACAACATATCAAAATCTGTGGAGTGCAGCCAAAGCAGTGCTTAGAAGAAAAATTATACCTTTAAAACATACATCAATAAAGGAGAGAATGAATAGATCAGTGAATTGGGCATGCAACTAAAATAACTACAAAAAGGACAAATAAAAATCCCCAATTAAACACCAATATAAAAGTCCTCAAAATGAAAAAAGGAGATTAATAAAACTGAAGGTTAAAAAAGCATTGAACGAATACATAAAATATGAGCTGGCTTTAGGGAAAAATGATAAACTGTTGATTAATTTTACTTAAAAAAGGAAGAAGAAAACCAAATTACCAGAATCAAAAATGAAAAGGGATAATGCACCACCAATGACATGAAACTAAAGCAATTATAAAAAGATATTTTGCCCAATTACATTCCAGTAAACTGACAAAGTGAAATGAATGAATATTTACATATTTATGATATATATATACATATATGTATATATTATCCAGAGGCATAGAAGTAGAAATAGAATACTTAAATAAACGTATCTTAGAAAAAGAAATTAAACAAGCCATTAATAACTCCCTGAGAAAAAATGCTCAAGACCAGATGGATTTACAAGTGAATTCTACCAAACATTTGAGAAACAATTAATCCCAATACTGTATAAACTGCTTTTTCAAAAATAGCTAAAGAAGTAATTCTACCAAATTCCTTTTATTACACAAATATGGCTTTGATACACATGGGAAGAGCAAGAATGATGAAAGAAAGCTGTAGGCCAATTTCCCTAATGAATATTGATGTAAAAAAAAGTAAACACCAGCAAAGAGATTACAACAATATATCAGAAAGATCATACACTATGATCTTGTGGGATTTATACCAGGAATACCAAGCTGGTTCAATATTAGGAAAACAATCAGCAGAATTGGCCATGTCAAAAAAAAAACATATTATATCAATTGATGCAGAAAAAGCTTTTGAAGGAATATAACACTCATTTCTATTAAAAATACTGAAAGGAATAGGAATAAATGGACTCTTTTTTAAAATAATAAGTAGTATCAATATAAAACCTTGGACAAACATCTTTAATGGGGATAAACTAGAAGTCTTCTCAATCATATCAGGAGAGAAGCAAGGATGCCCATTACTATACTATTATTCAATTTTTATTAAAAATGCTAGCTTTAGGAATAAGACAAGAAAAAGAAACTAGAAGAAATTAAAATAGACAGTGAGGGAACAAAACTGTCACTCTTTGCAGACAATATGATGGTATATTTAGAAAATCCTAGAGAGTCAACTAAAAAACAGGTTGAAAAAATTGCCATTAGCTAAGTTGTACAATATAAAATAAACCCACACAAATCATCAGCATTTCTATATATTACCAAAAAAAAACCTAGCAGGAAAAGATAGAAAGAGAAATTCCATTTAAAATAACCTAAACATTATAAAATACTTGGGAGTTTACCCACCAAGACAAACCCACGAACTATATGAACACAATTACAAAACATTTCACACAAATAAAGATATATCTAAACAACTGGAGATACATTAATTGCTCATGGGTAGGCCAATTCAATATAATAAAAGTGACAATTCAACCAAAATCAATTTACTTTTCAGTTCCATACCAAACTGCCAAAGGATTATTTTATGGAGCTAGTAAAAATACTTTAACAAATCATCTAGAAAAACAAAAGGTCAAGTGTATCAAGAGTATTTATTTTTTCAAAAAAAAAAGCGAAGGAAGGCAGTCTGGTAGGTCCACATTTCAAACTACATTACAATGCAGCAATCATCAAAACAATCTAGTACTGGCTAAAAAATAGACTGGTGAATAAATGGAATAGATTAGGTATACAACACAGTAGTAAATTACCTTGGTAATCTAGCATTTGATAAACCCAAAGATGCAAGCTTTTAGGGTCAAGAACTTACCATTTCACAAAATTGCTATGAACACTAGAAAGCAGTTTGGCAGAAACTAGGTCTAGGACAGCATCTCACACTATATAGCAAAATAATGTCAAAATGGTTACATGATTTACACATTAAGGGTGGTGTCATAAGTAAATTAGGGGAGTATGCAAATTTGTAACTTTCAGATCCATGGGTAAAGGAAGAGTTTATGACCAAACAGGAATTAAAGAGGATCATTGGAAGTAAAATAGATAGTTTTGAAAACATGAAATTAAAAATTGCACAAATAAAACCAATGCAGCCAAAGAAAAAAAGAAAGCGGGAAACTAGGAAAAAATATTCACAGCAAGTTTATCTGATAAATGTCTAATTTCTCACATACACAGAAAACTGAGTCAAATTTATGGAAATAAGAGCCATTTCCCAATTGATAAATGGTCAAAGGATATTAAAGTTTTCAGAAGAAGTAATCAAAGCTATTAATAGTTACATGAAAAAATGCTCTGAAAGACAATTGATTATACAAATTCAAAATGTTTTGGTTTATTTTCTGGCAGTTGGAGTTAAGTAACTTGCCCAGGGTCACACAGCTAGTAAGTCTCAAATGTTTGGACTGAGGCCAGATTTGAACTCAGGTCCTCCTAACTTCAGGGCCAGTGTTCTATCCACTGCACCACTTAGCTGCCCCTATACAAACTCAAACAAAAACAACCCTGAGACCCCACCTCAATCTATCAATTGGCTACTATGACAGAAAGGAAAATGATAAAAACAAGAGGGGATGTGGGAAAATAGCTACACTAATGCATTGTTAATGGAGTTGTGGACTGATCCAACCATTCTCGAGAACAATTTGGAACTATGTCCAAAACACTAGAAAACTGTGCAAAACCTTTGTCTCAGCAATACCACTACTAGTTCTGTGTTCTAAAGAGATCAAAGAAAAGGGGAAAGGACCTATTTGTGCAAAAATATTTATAGCAGCTCTTTTTGTGATGGCAAAGAAATGGAAATCAAAAGGCTGCCATCAACTGGGATTTGTGATGGAACACCATTGTGCTATTTTAAAAAATGATATTTCAGATGTAAAAAGAAACTACTGTTTCAGAACAACCTGGGAAAACTTATTGAAGCAAAGAGGACCAGGAGAACATTGTACATAGTAACAGCAATATTATAATGATGATCAACTACGATTTAGCTGCTCTGATCAAGACAATGGTCTAAGACAGTTTGAAAGGACCTATGATGAAAAATGCTTTCCACCTCCAGAGAGACAAATGAACTCTGCAGACTGAAGCATATTTTTTTCTTTTCTTCATTTTTTAAATTTTATGCAATATGGCTAATAGGGAAATACAGTTTGCATGACTTCACATGTATAACTGATGTATTGCTTGCCTTCTCAATGTATGGGGAAGGTGTTGAAGGGAAGGAAAGAATTTTAAACTCAAGTTTTTTAAATGAATGTTAAATATAAATCAGTTAAAAATTATAAGGGAGGGCCAGCTAGGTGGCACAGTGAATAGAGCACCGGCCCTGAAGTCAGGAGGGCCTGAGTTCAAATCCAGCCTCAGACTAAACACTTGACACTTACTAGCTGTGTAACCCTGGGTAAGTCACTTAACCCCAATTGCCTAAAAAAAAAAAAATTACAAGGGAAAAATTCTTTTTAAAAATCAATAAGATACAGAAAAGGGGAGCTTGACAGGAAGGATGACCTGGAACAAAATCCAATTTGGTGGTTGCCACCTCAGTTTCTTCTCATAGGAAAAGTTTCCTTAGCTCCTTCTCTGCTTAGGAACAAACAAGACATACTCTCCACTTCCAAACTTCTCTATTACCATTGAGGGAATTGCCATCCTCCCAGTCCCTCATACTGGCAGTCTAGGAGTTATCCTTGATTCCTCACTATTGCTTATGTTCCATATCCAATCTATTGCCAAGGGCCACCAATTTCACCTTTGCAACATTTCTAGAATATGCCTCCTCTGATACTTCTTCCATCCTGGTGCAAGTGCTTATTTTCACCTCACTCCTGGACTATTGTAACCTACTGGTTGATCTGCCTACCACAAGCTTCTCTTCACTCCAGTCCACCCTCCATTCAGTTGCAAAAATGATTTTCCTAAAGCATGAGCCTGACCGTGTCACCCCCTATTCAGTAAGCCCCCATGGCCCCCTCAAATAATACTAATGACTGTTGTGACATTTTGCAGAATCAGCCTATGACTCAAGCTAAGGCCACTCTATCCAAATGCATTAATGGATTTGGGATGTCACAGAGTAATGGAATTTTAGATTCATAGTACACCTCAGTAGCCATTTAGTCCAACTGATTCCTGAAAAGGAAGCTCCACTCTAGTGTGAATGAAAAGTGATCATCTGGGCTCTTCTTGAAGAGTTCTAATGATGAAGAATCCCATTATAGGCTAAAAGAGAACCCATTCTATTTTTATTGAGTTACTCATTCAGAAGTTTTTCATGATATCACATCTAAATTTCCTTATTTATGACTGCTACCCATTGCTACTGGTTATGTCTTCTGGGGCCAAACATGATGATGATGACAATGATGATGATGATGATGACGATGATGATGATGATGATGATGATGATGATGATGATAGCTATTATTTCTATAGTGCTTTAAAGTTTACAAAACATGTTACAAATATCTCATTTGATCTTTTCAACAACCCATGAAGGCAGGTACTATTATTACCACCATTTTACAGATTAGGAAACTTAGACAGACAAAGGTTAAGGAACTTGCTAAATGTCATATAGTTAGTAAGTATCTGAGTCCAGATTTGAACTCAGAGCTTCTTACCTCCAGGCCCAGTGTCACAATATAATTACCTTCAGATACTTGAACACAGTTATCATGTCCTCCCTGGCTCATCTCTTCTTCAGGCCAAACATCCTTAGCTTCTTCAAATTGATCTTCAGATGTCATGATCTCCACAATCATCACCATCCTGGTTGCCCTCTTAAGGACTCACACTCACTTACCAGACTTTCTTCTAAACTGTGGTACCTAGAAGTGAACACAATACTATAGATGTGGTTTAACAAAAACAAACTAAAATGGTCCTGTAGCATTTATGACAATGCTATTCATGTAACAACAAAAAAAAAACACATTTTAAACACAGGTAAAGTGGATTCAACAGCAGGAAAACAAATGGCACAAAACTGAAACACTAAGTTAAGCCCAGTGCCTAGTATGTAGAAGGCATTCATAAATGTTTATCATATTGTATGGTATCTCAAGAAAGTCTCAGTGCTCTTCCCTGTAATAAGTTTGGGTAATACTGTGTGTAGATTTGCATCTAATTCTAACATTGAATTACTATGATGATGACTGAAAAACATACCGAGTTAAAAAAACAAAACCTTAGAATTTATTACGAAAGTCTTACATCTCATAATGTTGTTTGATTCATTATCTCTTACTTGAAGATTTTTTTTTCCTATAAAGTGGGTTATAATCTCATCTAGAGTGTAAGGTGATATTCAACTGCCTTAGAATTTGTGCTTGGAGTTGGGGCATGGTTCCCACACCATTTTAAGAAAGTAGGCAGTTACATGGTGACTTAGAGAGGCAACCTACTAGAAGAGGAAAAAAATCAAGTTAACAACAAGAAGTAAGGTTCACATGTAAATTCAGTCAAACCATAAGCTCTTGAATGGCTATTATCAAGGCAAATCTCCTTGAACTTCCATTTTCTCTCCCTCATTCCACGTACTCTCTCAGGTTTATGTTATCCCTCATTACCTTATTTTTCCCTCAAGGCTTTTCTTCATAGGACTGTAAATTCAGGCCTAAAAGGAACTTAGAAGAGGTCTGTTAGTCTAACTCATTTACTTGACAGATGAAGAATCTTACTTCACCTGGAGGAAATGTGTGCCTGGATTGGGGAAGGAGGAAGCATTGAGCTTACACAGCCTAACCTCATAAAGATGCTCTGAGTCTCCTTGACAGCCTCAGGCACACCCTACTATGGAACTTCTTCCTTACTATTTTATATTTGTTATAAATGTGATCCTGGGTTACCCTTCTCATCTGGGTTACTTTTAGAATTTATCAAGTTTAAAATCACAACCTGATTAGAATCTCACTTTTCTTTAATGCAGAGTAATGTTGTAGTGGTCACTCATTTATCATTGGTCAGATAAATTCCTTCCAAATACTATCCTAAGAATACAAACCAGTCCAGAAACAAAGGACATTTTTGAGAAGAAGAATGAGACTAAGGGATAACTACAAAATACAAATGCAATAAAAAAATGTATGAAGTCACTGGATAAAATACAAAATTTAGACTAAAAAAGCTTACTGCCCTGAAGGAATTTACAATCCAGTAGGGAGACATGACATCAATATAGACAGTGATAATATACAGTAATAAGCATAAAACACATGCCATGCCATGTAAGGACTGATGGGAAAGGTGGACCTTCCAGTAATGGAAAGAAAATGTTTTATAGCTCAGAAGTGATCAACATTAGAGTAGCTGATAAAATCTCTACAACCACACAGAATGACAGGTGTAAGTGTTGCTAGAATAATTTGGGCCATAATTTTTTTTCTTTATAAAAGCCATTTTATTTCAGCCCTTAGAGAATTCCCACTCTCTACTCCAGACCTCATTTTCACACACACACACACACACACACACACACACACACACACATACATCCAACTTGTCCCCAGAAAGTACTTCCTGTCTTGTGCTTTCTGTCTCTGTCTCTCTGTCTCTCTCATCACTTTCCTCTTCTCCACCTCTTAGCACTTTCATTTTCTTTCTCTGTATCCAGAGTTATAAAGCCTAAATGGTCTCAAATACAGACAGGTCCTGCTATATGTAAGATGAGTGGTACAATGGATAAAGCACTCTACCTAGAGTCAGGAAAACCTGGATTCCAATCCATCATAGATATTTATTAGTTGTGTGGACCTTTGGCAAGTGACTTAACCTGTGGTTGCTCAGTTTCCTTATCCATAAAGTGAGAATAATAATACCTCCCTCCTAAGGTAATTATGAGGATAAAATGAGAGTAATATCTGTAAATGTTTTATAACCTTTAAAGTACTATATAAATGCTTGCTTTTATTATTATCCATCTTAAATCCTCTCTATGTGAACACTTGGAATATATATATGCATATAGATTTTTGCTTAAATTAGATTTTCATTGTAGAAGAGTCATTTTTTCTAATAGTCCATGGAATGCACAGTTTAACTTATTCTAGATTGGCAAGTTAGTTATTGACTTTATCATTTCCTTTGTAGTCTATGTGCTGTTTATTTCAATGAATCTCTTTTTTCCTTCATCAAAATTGTGCATTTGTTTTACTGAGTATAACTTATCATATATTCTATTCTGATGCCTAGAAGTTCTAAAGAGCCCCCTCAATGTATTTGGGGGTAAAGTTATTATTATTTTTAACTGGCCACTAATCATATCCATGCTGCCCATTCCACCTCCCAACACTGACAGGAACAGAGCAAGAATACATTTTTTGGAGGGAACTAGTTTAAGGTAATTGTTTCTGTTACCTTCCTAACCCCAGTGAAATATTAACCTAAGACACCCAGGTGCCACATAGTGAGATTTTAAATTAACAGAGAGGCATAAGCTACATTGAAGGCAATAGCATTAGATAGAAAGCAACACTACCTCATTTGAAACTGGCTATAAAGAATGCCTTGTGCTTTCATTATGCCTTTTTCAGACCACAGGCATTCCGTCAGGAGGGGAGGGGGAGACATTGAAAGACTAAGAAGGGTTTTTGAAGCATCATTTGGCCCTTTTTTATGACACAGCAAACAATAAAGAACAGAAGACTATGAAACACATGAGGAAGGATTTCCGTTTCCCTGAAAAATCACTATGGTCAGAAAATTAAGAACAGAAACAGCTTTGAAAGGGAAAATGTGAGTGACATTCTGGTCATTTGAGAAACTGGATTACATGTCAGAAACAAACAAACAAAAAAGGCTGGTATTCCTCACCTCATTTTGCCTTCAGTTCTCCTTTTCTTCCTCTCCACTTCAGCCCTAGGAGAAGGGAGGTTCCTCTCAGCTAATTGCATGAGCTACAGATATCTCTTCAGGGCTGCTAGGTTTTCTTTCTGCTATCTCTGATCTCATTACCTACACTCCAACTCTTTGACATTTTTCCTCCAGGGCTTCAGGTATTTGACAGGTACATAGCTGCTGATGGACAACGGTCTGCAGGCTTCAGTTAGGGTTGGGGCCAAAGGGAACAAAGAGAATTAGGCTAGCTCAGTCTGTAGGGGACTAAAGTTGTGGAAACACTCAGACCCCCTACCCCACACACATACACACACACCAACTCTCAGCTACTCCACAGTAGGTTGGACCTGAAGAGACACAGTTGATCAAAATCAAAAATCAGCTTTAATTGGCTGCATTTACAGGAGGAATGGGAAGAGACACAGGATGACAATATTAACATAACAAAGATAAGAGTTGAAGTTAGTAAATTTTATATTCTAATCTTACCATTTATTACAGTCATAAAAACAGATTAACATTTGGCCCTCTTCCGTTCTCATTATTCCCTGAATCTGAAGAAATCAGAATTTTAATTCTCACTTCATGTTAACTTAAAAGCAGAGTTATACTATTTGGAATACAGTCTTCATTTTTAGGGAATACGGCAAATACAAAATATGAAATATGACATGTTTTTCTTCCTCAACCCAAACCCATCTTTTACATGTCCTTGTCACCTAGCCTTAATCTCTAAAACTTTGTTTGGAGGGGGGAGGAATTTAGTAACCTATCAAAACCTCTTATCAATCATTTATACTTCAAGTGTGGAAGCCAGTAACACTCTTCTCTCTTCTAGATGCATTTGTATTACAAAATTTCTCCCTCCTGGTGGAAGTGTCTGGTTTGGGGTTTTCTATTGGGATATTCTGGAAGACCATGTGTAAAGGTGCTTTAGTATGTGAACACTGCAAGAACTATGAGGACAATGAAGTATTTCTTGACCAATAATTAGGACACATTGTCTGACAAAGGCTTTTCTCGTAGATATGCCTTGTTCTACAAAAAGCTACTTGAAGTCCATGCACTTTGACACAGCTGTATACAAGGCAACAATTTCCTTCTGTCACCTCCTGGTAAAATACACAACTTCTGGGTGCAAAACAACTCAATAATTCTCTGAATACCTAATGAATCTCTTCTTGAAGTGAGGATAAGTTTATCGCCTTGACATAACGAGTTACATTTTGTATTAGGTCACCATTTTGTGCTTTGAAGTTTGTTTTCCATAACATAAGCAAATGTGTAATTAACTATATTGCAAATATTAAAGGAAAATGATCGTCCGCTTAAGTAGAACACTTTCTCCAAAGTTCAGTTTCACAGATGAATAGTAAGATCAAACCAATATGGTCACTTGGTTTATACTGCAATAACCTACGACTGTGAAAATTCTAGTCATGACTTCTATATTGACCCTTGACAGAAATGTTAACTCAATAATGCTCATGAACAAGATCCACTGATAATGGCATCTGGTCACTGAAACTTTCTGCCTTCCACAGCACCCATCAAAAACTAAAATCTTCACAGAAGACAGCTTTCACTAGCAGCTCCCTTTTAAGGTGTGCCAAGGTCCATATTACTTTCTTCTTACCCTTCGCAGACCACTAGTAAGGGCAACCTATGACTCTTTTTTTTTTAATATATCAGTTTATCATGATCATTGCCCCAACCTCGACTGGCATTACCTATACAGTACCCAGAGAGATCAGGTGTATGGTCACCATATGCTACCCAGAGTGGATGATTACACTTTCTGGACATTTCTAGTGACAACTGAAATGTCATGGTAAATAACAAACATACTAACTACATGAAAAAGACAACTTCATCATGTGAAAGATTAAAATGATATTCAGAAAATTGGACTTTGATGTAACTAAATACCAACCATAATCTAGAAGGAAGGTTGAGGTAAACATTATCTTAGAGACAATAAAACACAGACAGA